TCCAGCAATTGCACTACTGGGTATTTACCCCAAAGATACAAAAGTAGGGATCCGAAGGGGTACGTGCACCCCGATGTTTATAGCAGCAATGTCCACAATAGCCAAACTGTGGAAAGAGCCAAGATGTCCATCGACAGATGAATGGATAAAGAAGATGTGGTATATATATACAATGGAATATTATGCAGCCATCAAAAGGAATGAGATCTTGCCATTTGCAACGACGTGGATGGAACTGGAGGGTATTATGTTGAGTGAAATAAGTCAAACAGAGAAAGACATGTATCATATGATCTCACTGATATGAGGAATTCTTAATCGCAGGAAACAAACTGAGTGTTGTTGGAGTGGGGGGTGGGGTGGGAGGGATGGGGTGACTGGGTGATGGACACTGGGGAGGGTGTGTGCTCTAGTAAGTGCTGTGAATTGTGCAAGACTGTTGAATCTCAGATCTGTACCTCTGAAACAAATAATGCAATATATGTTAAGAAAAAAAAAAGAAGAAGAAGAAGGTAGCGGGAGGGGAAGAATGAAGCGGGGGAAATCGGAGGGGTAGACGAACCATGAGAGACGATAGACTCTGAAAAACAAACTGAGGGTTCTAGAGGGGAGGGGGGTGGGAGGATGGGTTAGCCTGGTGGTGGGTATTGAGGAGGGCACATTCTGCATGGAGCACTGGGTGTTGTGCACAAACAATGAATCATGGAACACTTCATCTAAAACTAATGATGTAATGTATGGGGATTAACATAAGAATAAAATAAAAAAATAAAAAAAATAAATTAAATAAATAAAAAAATAAAAAAAAATAGAAACACATAAGTCACTACAAAGCTTAAAAGGGGAGGAGCTCCCAGTTTCTGTGAGCCCCAGAAACTATGAGGTTTGGCACATATTTTAAGCCAACTTCTGGCCACATGCTAAACCCAGATATTTTCTACTGGAGAGAGGAGGATGAGAGAGAATATCTCCATAGGAGGCAGCGCAGTGGCAAGGGTGGAGTCAGGTCATTGTCACCAAGGACTTTTTAAAACCACATTTGCTTACTGTCCAGTGCTGCTGGAAAATAGCACCCCAGGGGAGGTATGGATCCAAAATGGAGAATTTCTGCTTTAGTGGACACTATTACTGACAGGAATGGGTCAAATCGCTTAAGTTGATAGAACGGAAAAACACATGTGAATTACCAGCACAGTTCATAAGCACCTAGAGATAAAGAGGGAATCAGGAGGACACATCATGATTTAACTTTTAATAAAAAACAGACTAAGCCTCTCACTTCCTTTTCTGAGTGCACTAACAGACTGCTAGACCAGGACAGCTGGGCAAGCACAGTGATTTTGTTTTGTGGAGAATGAGAGAGGGAGCTGTCCAGAAGGACTGACGTGATGAGCTTGGAGCACAAGGTTAACTGAGAAGAGAAGGAGCACGAGGAGATGTGGGACTGAAATCACTGGGGGACACATGCAGACCAGCAACTGCAGTCCTGTTGGAGAGAAGAGCTGATTGGGAGAAATCACGGCGTGGGTGACATGGTGGCGCTAAGGGTTATGTTCATATAGGGAGGTGATCATTTTTCATGTGCATTTCCTGGAGAGGAATTAGATGCTTCTGACAATGACTACTTGTGGGCCAGCCTAGGAAGCTCAGCCTTAAGACTTTCAGAGGCGGAAGAAGGCAGAAAATTGCTTGTTAAATTACCCCTGAAAGCCAGTCTTTCTTTCTCACAAGTGTTAAAGTTGAGTTGTGATTAGGGCATATGGGACTTGATCTGATCAGCTTAGTATTTCATATGTTCTTAATTTTCATTTGGGATTTTTAAATACTTCTCCATAAAAGAGCAAAACAAACTTGTCCTTTTTTTTTTTTTTAAACCAATATAATTAAAAGAGACAAGCTTGAGAAGACCTACAGATGGGTCACGCTGGGCCTTGCCAAAGTATAGAATCACAATATGAAGTGAATCCCATTAATTGCAGCAGTTGATGGCTTCAGCAGAGAATAAGGCTTACAATGAGAAGTTCTCAAAGCCTGCAGGCCACTGGAGAGATTGTAACATGGAATCTGTTATTAGCACACATTCAAGCAAAGGCTTATTTGATGTTGGGCAATTTCTAGCTTTTTATGGACAGGCCAGGTCCCTCTCGACAGTCCTGTTTAGTTAGTGTTCCATGAAATTTCACCAAGACCTTAATTGTAAACACATAGTTCTTCTCTACTGCAAGGTTTCTTGTTAACTTTACAGAGCTATCAGTGAAAGAGGAAGCTTGGATACCACGTACGGAAATGACAGAAGTGGCTTGACACATAAAGAATATTATTCCCTTAAAGAACTGCTGGATTTATTTAGGTAATCCTAAATTAGGTGTTTTGATGAATGCACTCTTGATAGTGTCATCTCTGCTTATCACGGAGTTATCAATCAGAACTGGGAAAGACATCTGGAAACATCTGGCCCCTTCCAAAGCAATAACACTGTCATGTATTTCCCGACACACTACACAGACTCTCCCAATCATTTTTGATCTTTACACATTAAAACTTCTCAAGAGGAGGTTCTGGTTTAATTTTTTATATTTTATTTTCCCAAAAAGAACAATCAACTGGATATACACATTTCCATTTTATAATCACTTATTGCATTATATTCTAATTACTTGTTTAAATGTCTGCCTCCTTACTAGGTTAGCACTCCAAGGAAGGAAACATGTATTCATCTCTGGAACCCCCATGGAGAGCTAAGTATACATGCTGGGACTCTAGCCTATAGAAACAAGAGGACAAGGAGGTGAGTAGCTTTGTTTGAGAAGATGTATTGCAGTATTATTAAGATGGCAGCAAATTGGAACTAACCTGAATGTCCATTATCTGGGGAGTAATAGAAAAAGTTATGGTAAATGTAGATAAGGGAATATCATTTAGTTTTGAAAAAGAGCTAGAGCTATATCCATTGACCTAGAGGGAGGTCCATAATATATTGTTGTATGAGAAAAACAACTTAACAAACAGAAGCACAGATTGTGATTCCAAGTTGTAAAAGCAAACAGTAGCACCCTGTGAAAAATGTGTTTATAGGTGAGAAAGAACATTGGCTAGGCTGTAACAGGGGTTACTGTGATGATGATGAGAAAGTAGAGTATGGAAGAAGATAAAAATACTGCCAGCAAAGTGCAAAAATACTCATGCCGTAATGCAAAGGGGAAAGGTAGAATGCGTATTTTTGGCAGTAATTTTTTAAAAGAAAAGCTGACCTTTACTGAGAGTTCACTGATCAGCGTCAGGCATGGTTCCCAAGGCTTTGCACAAGACTGTTTTACTTACTGCCCGCACCAACCCTGTGCAGTAGGGACTGTTATTTCCCTCATGTCACAAGTGAAGAAACTGTGGGCCAGAGAAGTTAATGAATTGACCCGTGGTGACACAGTAAGTGGCAAAGCTAAAAATAAAACAATAGGCAAAAAAAAAAAAAAAAAGAAAGAAAGAAATTGCATTTTTTTTCTAGAACTTAACCTGAGCAAATGAAAACAATTTAGTTAGGTGATAGAACTATGAATTATTTCGTTTTGAATTTTTGCTATTATTTAATATTTAATTTTACTTTAAATAAAGTAAAATTATTTTTTAAAAATAGGGAGAAAAAGTGGTATGGTGGTTTTTAAAACCTGTCCTCAAATCCTCCTCCTACTGAGAGTAGAGTTCTTTGTTTCTTTGCTTTGGATCTGGGTGGGGCTTGTGGGGGCTCTGACCAATCACACAGAAGAGGCACCATGTATGTCTTTGGAGGCTAGGTCTCCCTTTTGGAGAAGCTGGTTCTGGTGGGTGCCAGCCACCAGGGTGTACTAAGGCCCCAGCCAACAGGCAGCACTGACTGCCTGACTTCCGAGGGTTCCAGCCCTCAGCCTTAGAATCTTCCAGCTGAGGCCCCAGACATGGCTGATCAGAGACAAACTGCACCAGCTATGTCATGTCCAAATGTCTGACCCCCAGAATCTTGTGTGAACATACTAAATGTTTGGGATTTTTTGTGTGTGTTTGTTATTGTAACTGTTGGGCTTGGGGTTTTTTTGCTCCTAAAATACACAACAGAGGGTTGGAATGGGAGAGGACCTTCTACAGTGATGGTTGTCAATTTAGGGTAGATTTGCCCTTTGTCTTATTTTTCTGTTCCCTTTAGGCATATTGTAATGATTAATTTTATATGCCAATGTGGCTGTGCCATGGCGCCCAAATATTTGGTCAAACATTATTCTAGATGCTTCTGTGAAGGTGGTTTTTGGGCTAGATTAACATTTAAATTGGTGGATTTTGAATAAAGCAGATTACCCTCCATAATATGATTATCCTCATCCCATATATTGGAGACCTGAAGAGAACAAAGACTAACCTCTCCTGAGCAAGAAGAAATTCTGCCAGCACATTGCCTTTGGACTCCAACTGCAACTCTCCCTGAGTCTCCAGGCTGCTGATCTACACCATTAGATTTTGGACTCAGCAGCAACCCCCACAATCATGTGAGACCATTTCTTAAAATAAATTCAGCCCTCCTCTCTCATTGGTCTCTCATTCTCTGGAGAACCCTTATACACATATTGTGGTACCTTTAACTCTCCTTCTCAAAGTCCTCACTAGTCCCTCCAGTATCCTCACCTTCCTGTAGTATACATCAATCCTCTTTGTTGAACCTCAGGTGTATTCGATGTATTTAAGAGGGCTAGCAAAGAGACTAATGCTAGCTGGACAGTCAACCTCCTAAACTTCTTCCTCTTCCTCTTCCTCCCTCTTTAGGGAAAAATTCATAAGCAATATACATCCATTTCCAATAAATGATTAGCACCTACATAGGATGACAACATCAAGAGTAAAAAAACTTAAGCAGATGAAGTAGATCAACTGTGGCTTTCGCACTGAAGTGGCTTCACAGAATGACATACGCCACTAACAAGGCCCAAGGGACAAAATGATCAAATCCAGGCAAAGCCAAAGGACAAAGTGCAGCTTACCCCTCGAAGCAGTGGGCAACTGTCAGGACCCACTTCTTGGCAATGAGGACACAGCCACAAATGTGTCCACTGGGTTCACTCTGCAGGGAACACTGCCATGGCCACCTTCCAGGGCGACTCGTCCGACCCCCAAGGATCCTCTTGTTCATTCGGGCAGCAGGGCGACGCCCGCAGTCTACCGAGGAGCAGGAAAGACAGCGTGTGATTCACTGCTAAACCCAGCGAGATACTTGGGTCTTTGCTGTTAAGTGCAAAGTCCTGTTCTTCCCCTGAGCCAACCCAGTTAAATTAAGATCATATTCCATTGCCACACCACTAATGCTCTCACCTTGTTTAGTACACAGAAGAGAAATCTTACTTCTGCTATGACAAGCCTGCCTAGATTTGGAAACATAAAATGGCATAATGTTAAGTTACATATTTATCATTCACTTCAAACACTTCACCAGTGAAAAGCAAGACATAGGTTCAACCATTCCCAGAGGTCACATTCCTTGAGTAACAGAAATTCGTGCAGAAATTCTTGAGGCAGGGCTGTTGGCAAATATCACCTTGGAAATAAGGGTATATGGAGGACGTGTACCTTTTTTTTTTTTAAGCTCCTTTAATATCATCATAACATAATCTCACATGGGTGGGAAAAGAAACTACTGTTAGCAAAGTTTCCCACATCATCTTGGCTGTGGCACCACCCAGAATATTGACTCAAACCATGATTTTCAAAGTAGGCAGAGGAAGGCAAGGGAACTGGGCTACTTCTTAGAATCTTTGGTGAGGAAGGAGCATGTCAGACTTTTATGTGGATGTCCAAAAGAAGTTGCAAACAGTTTGAGAGAAATAAAGTATCACTTCAAAAAGTTAGAGAACAGATAAAGGAACTAAATTTTTTAGACTGGAAAAAAATTTTGACGAGACCTGTGATATTAAAATGTGGATCTATGATTGGCTGACAGGAAGAAGGGGGGTTAAATTTATTCCATGTATCTCTAGGTGGTGGGATCAGAACCAGTCAGTAGAACTTAACAGGAAGTAAGTTCAGGAAAGAAAGACCTTTCTAAAAATCATAGTTAACCTTTAAAGGTAAGAACATGGGCCATGTTTTAACATCTATAAATGTGGCTGCACAAGAGAACTCACTTTAGGGTACATTAAATTTCAATCACGAAGTTCTCTTCCAACCATGAAGCATTTATTCATAGTATAAATTAAAAAACAAAAGACACTTTGGGACTGTCAAAAATACTGTGATGTGCTTAGAATCATAGATTTCTCAGAAAAAAAAAATCCCTAAATATGTCATGTCCACTTTCCTTTTTGAGGATTTATTGTGCTTTCATTTCTTGTTAAATCTGCATGGGGGCATGCGTAATTATTTGTATCAATAAATTATATAATACAGAAAAACATTCCTGCTTTTTGCCTTCCCACACCTAAAGTCCTGTCTCCTCCTTACTCTCTATCTTGTTATCCTTAATTTCTTTGTAGTATTTCCAAATATCTGAAATTCCTTTTGTTTACTGGCTTATAGTCTCTCTGTCCACCTATATAGCATATTCCTTGGAATGAGGGCCCTTGTTCCCCTCACTCACTCCTACATCTCCTCACAACCTGGCACTGAACCTGCCAGAGAAGAGATACTCAATAATCAGTTGTTAATTAGTTAGATCCCAAAATCACAACTTGTAGAAATAGGAAAAAACAGCAAAGACTATCTGTAATAAAAATAAAATAAATTTTATTTTATAGGAAATTGTGGTTATATAAGATCACAAATCTAGTTAGTAAGCCAGAAGTAGAACCAGTTCTACCAACTCCCAATTTACAATTGAATGTATGTATGTATGTACATATGTGTGTATGTATTAAACCTGAAGGGGCTTTTCTCTCATTTGCAATTTGGGGGGAAAAATCACTCTGTTGAAAGATTCAGGTCATTGTTTTGAAGGAAATCCTTCAGAAATTTGGCTGCAGAGTTCGGTCTCTGGGGAAATTTTCAAGACATTCTAAAGAGAAATGGCCTACCTTTCGATTTCTTTGAAATTCTTAAGTGGTTTCTCTAGCACTTATTAAAAGCTTTGGAGTCAGATTAACTTGGTTTGAGTTGAGAGGCCACTGTGGGCTGTGAGTTTTGATCAAGTTATTTAAATATTCTGTAGCTATGACCCTATAATGTAATAGCCACTAAATAAGTGTTAATTCCTTCGATTTCCTCCATATCCCCATATCCCCAGCCATAGACAAGGGAGACAGCCTTGTTCAAGATGCCATGATTTTTAGGGAAAATTTTCAGAAGTATTCTTTCAAGGCTACTTGATTATAATTTCATTTTGTGTCAATTTTTTTCCTCAGACTGTCCAAGTTTGATCAGTTCTCATTACTTCAATTCCCTGTTAACTAGTTATATGTAGAATCTGTACAAACTGCAGATATGAGAATTTACTTTGAATAGGATGTGAAAAAACTCCAAAATTAGAACCTAAGTTCTTCTTCCTTCCCCATGATAGTTGCTGTAATCATCATTAAAGAAACATGTAATTAGCAAGAGAAAAATAATCTATGTCTAGAAAGAAGAAATAAAGCCAAACAGTGTTGAAATATAAAGCCCAATCACCATTCTATGGATGTTCTTTATTGACGTGATAAATTTGGATTATCTTAAGTTAGAAGTAGGAGAAGGTCCCTGATGATAGACTCTTGCTCCATAATCCACTCTACACAGCTCTTGTGCAAGCGGTCTTACCCTTTTACCAACAGTTCATGCAAAGTAGTCCCGTTGAGGCTCTCCCAGCTGGAGTGTAATGTCAACCACAGTTGGTCTTGCTCCTGTTCCTGTACCAATTCGGTCACAGATGGTTCTCTAATATAAGGACAAATAACAATGATACATTCAAAGCACAATGATCTTTGACCAGACAATATCATTCCTTAGCACTCACTGTCTTTCAAAAAGAAGCATTACATTATGTCAATATTTCAAGAGGGGGATTTGTATTAGAAATTTGGCATGGAATATGATCAGCAAGAGAGGATCTAAAGCAATAAAGATCCAAATGTTATGGCAATTTTAATCATTCTCTCCACTGACACACATTTGAACTTTGTGAGGTGTTAGAATTCTAATGTATATGATGTAAAAGTTCCAATACCTAAAAAACAAGAGCAACTTTGGGCAGGGATCACAAAAAGTAAAAGAATTTATCTGCCCAGGATTTTTTTTTCCTCCTCTTTTCTTACCCAATGTAATCCTGCAGTGCAGCAATACCTTAAAATAAATAAAATAAAATAAAATAAAGTAAATAAAGTAAAAAATAAAGAAGTAAGTAAAGTAAATTGATGGCCACTTAGTGTCTATTTGGGCAGTATAAAATTATAATGATGTTTTTCAACATACTGCAAAATCCTCGAGAACTAAAAATTAGGAAAAACTCTGGAAAATAAAGATGGGAGTTAACATTATTTTGCTCTTTACCTATATTCTTACTCAACTTCTACCAATACTTTTCTGTGAATGTCTCATTCATTCAAATAAATACGGATACCCTGTATCCGAGATTTAAAACCTTAGGTTTCAAAAGTATTCAGGTTTTGTGTAAAATATTCTATTCTAAATGAAATAATTGGTTCTTTTAGGCAATCCATATTTGCAGAAAACTGTTGGGACTTTCATCACCTAATGCCCAAGGGTAGAAAATGTGGAGGAATCAATCTAGATAGGAAGGAAGAGGGCTGCCTCTGGACCTGGAAGGAAAGTGGTACTTTGCTGAAGTTGGAGGGGGGTAGAGAATTCAAATCAGATAGCCTCTATCTTTCTTTTCAAGTAAAAGGTGAGCACCTTTGATGAGAGTTGGGGGTGGCGGGGGTGCATGATGATGAGAAAAGTGACACATATAATACGGATTTGTTCCCTGGTGGAAATGTTTGGAGAAACACATCAAAGTTAAGTGAGAAAATGAATGTAAGAAAGGAAAATAAAATAAAATAAAAACAGAGAGGGAGGTAAACCATAGGAGACTTTTTTTTTTAAAGATTTTTTATTTATTTATTTGACAGAGAGAGACATAGCGAGAGCAGGAACACAAGCAGGGGGAGTGGGAGAGGGAGAAGCAGGCTTCCCGCTGAGCAGGGAGCCCGATGTGGGACTCGATCCCAGGACCCTGGGATCATGACCTGAGCCGAAGGCAGACGCTTAACGACTGAGCCACCCAGGCGCCCAGGAGACTCTTAACTCTAGGAAACAAAGAGGGTTGCTGGAGGGGAGGTGTGTGGGAGGATGGGGTAACTGGGTGATGGGCATTAAGGAGGGCACTTGATGGAATGAGTACTGGATGTTATATGCAACTGATGAATCACTAAATTCCTCCTCTGAAACTAATAATACACTATATGTCAACTAAATTGAACTTAAATTAAGAAAATTTTTAAAAAGACATCACATAGAATTTCCTAAGAGAAATACATATTATTCATGTATTCAGTTATATGCTTATAATCTAGATTTTACCGTCTTGTCAATGAGTGCAAATACCTGTTTATGACACCCGTCCCCCCAACCCAAAAAAAAAGATAAGTGAGAAGAACGGCAACAGCACTCAGGGTTCAAATGAACCTGGAAATCCTGAAGTTTTAGTAGCATCAAGTTTGCAGGCTTCGTGACTTTTCCAATAACGGGATGCCATATTTCAAAAAAAGGGGGGGAGGGCACAGGAAGGGAAGCAAAGTTAGACTCAGTGGCATTGAAAGAAAAATGAACATTTCAGCTGATTATTTAAAAACTATTGTAATGTCATAATAGAAAGCAAAAGGAACAAAACCTTCCCCAAAGCCTGTTACTTATAAAAGAGGAAAACCCTCTAAAGAGAACACTTGATGGTAGAGTAAAAGCCAAAGAAAAAAACAAACCAAAGCCCTTAATAATGAGTGGATTCTAATCATTTGATTTTAAAACAGAGAGCATGAACCCTGACCACACTTTAAGAAGAGTTCCACAAGACTGAAATTTATTTAGGAACTTGAATGAACGATGGGATGATTGAAGACTTCACAAAACCTACTGCAAAATGAGGAGTTTTGTTTTCTTTGACCAAAATGAGAGTCTGGCTTTCTGTCAATCTCACAAGTTCTGTATGTGGAGGCATAGGCAAGAGGCAAACAATTAAAAGTCAGACAGAGGTCACAAACACCACTGACGGTGTTTCTCCTGCTACCTGCATCCTGAGAATTCCTTTCTGCAGTCGATCAACTTGAGGGCCTCCTAAATCCAGGCATATGACTGGCCGTAAGCCAAAGGAAGATAAGCTTCAGATTTGTTGTTTAATTAAGTCATTCTTTAGGCAGGTATTTATAGGGCAAATGGGACTCTCACAAGGAGGGCTATTCAGCATAGGATTTGCACAATGGTGGATTGAAAAATCATGGCAAAGGATACTTCAGTCTTTCAACCCGCAAGGCACCTTCAGTTGCCCTGAAAAAGGTCTCCACAGATCATTGCACCTGGGATGTTTCTGCATTTCATTCATTAACCTCCAACAAGAAAGGCAATTTAGTCTGAGTCTCTCAGTTATATCAAGTGGAAAATACAAGAAATTCATCATCAAGAAGAGGGGATGTCATTATAAAAATTAGTTTTCCATGAAATTCTTAAGCCCTAGAATGCTTCTCATGCACAAAAATAAATCTTTTAGCACCAGAAATACCATGCTATGGCTTATTAAAAAAAATATCAGTGAATCCATATGGTTCTATTTCTGCCATCATACAGAATCTGAGCATCTGTGTGATTTCATTTTTTTTAAATAATTTTTAAGGTTATAAAAGTAATACTTATATATGGAAAAAATAAAATTATACAATAAAAAAATATTCTTACCATCCCACATGTGTAGAAATGACCACTGAAAATAGCATTTGAGAGTATCCTTGCCAAGCTCTAGCTGTAATTCATGTACACATACTCATATTTTTTAGTCTATACACATTGTTCTGTGTTGTATTGATATATTTTTATTTAGTGATTTATCTTGGAAGTCTTTCCCTAATAATAGTTGACATTTCTCAACTGCACTGAAAGACAAACTCATTTTATCTTATTTAATCCTCTCAACAATGTTGGAAAGTAGGCATTATTAGTCCCTATTTTGGAGATGAAAAAATTGAGGCAAAGAGAGAATAAGTAACTTGCCCAAGGTCACACAGTACGTAGACGGCCAGTGGTCTGAGGTCAGAGTACCATTCCTAACACTTTGAACACCACACGGTCCCCCTTCATTAACAGCACATGCCCTGTTCCTTTTATAGCTGCCGAGTGTTACTATTACATGGCCGTACATACACTTACTTAGCCAACCCACTACTGATGGCTTGTAGGTTATTTCTAATTTTCATTATAACAAAAAAGCAGCAGTTAACACTCCTAACTATTCACCTTTGCCTCCATGCACAAGTTCCTAAAAATAAAAATAATTTCCTAGAAATAAAAGTATCAAATCAAAATTTAAATTTTTGATTAATAGTCTGAATTTTCCTTGAAAGGCTAATGCCAATTTACATATCATCAAGAATGTATGTGTATGTGCTTTTTAATTTTTATAACTATGTATATAATGTAAATCGTGCTATGAAAAAGTATCTGGAACTTAGCTGTTCAAATTTTGACAATTGGTAATGCATTTGACTTATCTTTTTCCATATTTTATCAAATTAAAGAAATCCTGTTGGGCAGAGAGCAAAAGAGCAAAAAAACATCTTAGCAGTGATTAGGCATTAAAGTCCCTGTATCCTAAGAACATGTGTGTAGGCGTGATGTGATGAGCAGTGGATGTTATACACTTGAACTCTACATCTGAAACTAATGATGTATATATGTTGTCTAGTTGAATTTTAATTAATTAGTTAATTAATTTTAAAAAACACAAGCCCAACTGGGGGAAAAAAGGTGTGTGCAGGGAATATAGTCAGAACTAAATGCTTCTGTAGTAGCAATGAAATCATATACAGAGAAGGAAATTAAGGAACAATCTAATCCAGTGCCCTCATTTGACAGCCTGAGAAAACTGAGACACAGATACAGACCCATCCCAAACATACGTGGGGCCAAACATTTGTGAGTAGGGTACAAATGGAGGCCCACATACCATATGTCTACATGTTTAGATGTTATAAATCAAGTTAACAAGTTGTTAATGTATTCTAATCTTCCCATCTTGACAAACATATCTTTTAGGCTCAAATATAGGATTTTGGACTCCTTGGAACAGTGGTTTTCAAACTTTGGCATTCATCAGAATCCCCTGAAGGGCCTGTTACAACAAAGCTTGTGGGCCCCATCCCCAGATTCCCTGATTCGCGAAGTCTGAGATAGGGCCTCGAAAGCAATCTTTCTAACATGATCCCAGGTGATGCTGCTGCTGGTCTGGGACTACACTCTGAAAACATTGCTATAGATCGTGGACCAGGCTCCAGGGGGGCATAACTCCTTGGCGGACAGACTCCTTGCCCCATGGGGTGAGGCATGGCTGGGAAGGAAGGCCAGAGTGGTCCCTCTAAATCTGGGTTTCTCATCCCTGGCACTACTGACATTTTATACCAGATAATTATTTACTGTGTGGGGCTATCTTGTGCTCTGTAGGATGTTTAGCATCATCCCCGACCTCTACCCACTAGATGCTATAGTACCCACCCCACCACTTCTGGACTGGTAATTAAATAGGTCTTAGGGACATTTCCAATGCCTCCTAAAGGGCAAAGCTAAGCCTGGTGGAGAACCACTCTTCTAAATCATGGAGCCCAGGGCAAGGCCCCTCTGCTCTGGGTCTACTAAAGGCAATACTACACAGAAAAGCAAAAGGATTTCCAAATTTG